GAGCGTCCGATTTTAATAATTCAAAAAATATTTTACTTTTATTGACAAGATGAAGAATTGATCAAATTTTCACGAAGGCAGGTCAAGCTATTTCGGAGACCTAATGAAAAAAGTAAAAAAAATGCCATTTGGCGGTCAAAAATGATCATTAGACATATGCACATCAAGTTATCAGATATTTTATAGAGATTTTCACAATAAGTATAAATTTTGTTTACATTCCTATGGGTTCCGTACCAATGTTCATCCGTAAGACGGCGACCCGGCTCTTACGCGCTTTGAAATTTCGTCTCGATACAGTTAAAGCAGTACGATTGCTTTGAAAAAAAAGTTCAGAATTTCCAAAATATGTCAAAATGAAGAATACATTTTTTTTTCAATAATTTTTCTTTTTTCAAAAAAAAGTAATTTTTTGTCAAATCTATAGTTTCACAAAAATCTAATTTTTTCGAAGAAATTTTTTTTCAAAAATGTTAATCGTTTTTAAAAAAATAATAATTTTTGGGAAGCTCCAGCAATTTGCCTTAAGGCACGATGCCATGCGCCCCACTAGTTTTTTCATAAATTCTAAATCAATGACAGGATTCGTTCCAAAGAGTGAATCGAACACGCTACTATGTGAGCTATGCTCGCCAAAAAATAAAAACATTTAAATAGTTAAACTAAATCAATTGCCATTGTAATAAATAAAATAATAACTAGCTGTAAGTGGAATTCTGTCTTGAGGCAATTATGGCATCGTGCCTTAAGGCAAATTGCTGGAACTTCCCGTACCGTAACAAAATGTTCGAGGAATACTGAATGTTTTCAAATAGATTATTATAAATATTGTAACATTGTCTAATATTTATAAGAATTATATAAACTGAATTGCAAAGTTGAAATTATTTGTAAAGTATATTAGAACTATAGTCAGAATTAAAAATAAAATCTGAATTATTTTCGATATACAAAAAAAAATAAAAAAAAAAAAATGGATTTTTTTTTCAAAATCAATTATTTTGTTAAGACAAGCAGAAAGTTCTTTGAATCATTTAAATCGAACGCTTAGTTCTCTCAAAAACTGCCATTTTTCACATTTTTAGCTCCGTATCTTCAAAATGGCTGGGCCTGCCTTTGCCAAAAACTAATAAACACTTCTCCCAATCATTACTAATTCAATGTTTTTTAGATCATTCAAATCGGATACTCCGTTCTCTCAAAAATACGATTTCTATTTTCTGCACTCTTTGCTCCGTATCTCCGAAACGGCTGGACCTGCCTTTGCCAAAAACTAATCAGCTCTTTTCCCTATCAATAGGAATCGAATGTTTTTTGAACCAATCGGTTGATCCGTGCGCCCTAAAACGTGACTGGAAATTTGTATCCACACATACATACACACACACACACACACATCCATTTTTTCTGAGGTATGCCAAAACGTTCAGAAACCTTCAAAACGTCGAGAAATGTAAAAATTTTCAATTCCGATTTTCGGCCCATTACAATAACTTACCCTACGGGAAGTTAATAAAATTGTAATAATGATAACATGTAATAATGAATGTTATTTCAAATTATAAAAGTCCAATAATAATTCAAGTACACCTAAGTCTGTTTTTACACGGTGATTGGTTCCAGAAGAAGTCGTGTAAAAAAAAAAAGTGTAAAAAAAGACATTGATCTTATACAAAAATGGGTGATTCGTTCCTAATCTCTAAAACCTATTAAAATTAGTGAAAACAAGAATATTTAGAGTATTCCCCTAAATTAGTGCTATTCACATTTTCTTTGACCAGTAAAAATTGTTTGTACGCGCTAAAGGGGAATTCACTCAAATCTTCAAGCTAGTGTTCGCAAACTATCGATACCATCGATGGTTTCAGACTTTTTTCTTTCATAAATACTTTTTTGTGATATGAACATACTTCGCAAAAATTAAATTTGACAAAAAAAATTCAAGTACATAAAATTTCAAATCGTGCTAAATGGGATAAAATCGTGTAAAAAAATTAAAAATATTCAATTTTCAAACCGTGTTATATCAAAACCGTGTACAAAAAGACCGTGTAAAAACAGACTTAGGTGTATTTGCGATTGATACCTATTACGGTGGACAGAGTGCGTATGTTTTTTCACGGATACCGCACGTCGCACAATACTGCTTAAGAATTTAAGTATATATAGTGTCCACATTCAAGATGGTTCTCAACCGGGTTATCTCGAGCCGGACTGCGGGCGTTCAAACGGGTTACCTCGATAACTCTCGTCGGATGTCGCCAGGGGCTCTGCTCCCGGCGGCTTCGACGTGTCGCCTGAGGAAGTTCCCCGGACGCTGGGCAGAGAGTGCCGCGGGTTAAGCCCGTTAGCCGGCGGTTCAAGCGTTGTAGGATGGGAAGCTCTAGGGCCGATCTCTATCATCGCACCGAGCCGCAGGTGTTGGTCAGAGCAAAGCGGATGTCGATTGTGGGGGTCTTACGACTCTAGCAGAACGGGGGCCACTCTGAGATTACCTGATTTATTTTTAATTTTTTCTATAATATTTCTATTATTAACTGTGTGTGTGTGTATGTGTGTGTGTGTACGTATGTATGGATACGAATTTCCAGTCACGTTTTAGGGCGCACGGATCAACCGATTTGAATGGTTCAAAAAACATTCGATTCCTATTGATAGGGAAAAGAGCTGATTAGTTTTTGGCAAAGGCAGGTCCAGCCGTTTCGGAGATACGGAGCAAAGAGTGCAGAAAATAGAAATCGTATTTTTGAGAGAACGGAGTATCCGATTTGAATGATCTAAAAAACATTGAATTAGTAATGATTGGGAGAAGTGTTTATTAGTTTTTGGCAAAGGCAGGCCCAGCCATTTTGAAGATACGGAGCTAAAAATGTGAAAAATGGCAGTTTTTGAGAGAACTAAGCGTTCGATTTAAATGATTCAAAGAACTTTCTGCTTGTCTTAACAAAATAATCGATTTATAATTTAATAATCGGAAAGTTGCAGCAATTTGCCTTAAGGCACGATGCCACCCACCCCACTAGTTTATATTTGTAGTTAATTTTCTCGTGCCATCAAAAACTTATATTGATATATTCATAAATAAACTAGCTGTAAGTGGAATTCTGACTCAAGGCAATTAGGGCATCGTGCCTTAAGGCAAATTGCTGCAACTTCCCGTACCGCTATTCAAAATTCGAGTAATTAAAAATAATCAATAATAATAATAATCAATAAAAGTTGATCAACGATTTGAAACTTTTAATAGAATTTCGAACCATATTAAATCATTCTATCTTAAATCATTTATTTTGAAATATTTTGGAAATTCTGAACTTTTTTCAAAGCAATCGTACTGCTTTAACTGCATAAAGACGAAATATCAAAGCGCGTAAGCGCCGCGTCTTCGTCTAACGCGTAAACATTGGTATGGAACCCATAGGAATGTAAACAAAATTAATACTTATTGTTAAAGTCTCTATAAAATCTGATAATTTGATTTGCATATGTCTAATGTTCATATTTGACCGCCAAATGGCTCATTTTTTTACTTTTTTCTCCATATCTCCAAAGTCCTGCCTTTTGGACCTGCCTCTCCAAAAATTTGAACAGTTCTTCACTTAGTCAATACAAATAAAATGTTTTTTGAATTATTCAAATCGGATGCTCAGTTCTCTTAAAAATTGAGTTACCGTTTTCGGCACTTTTTGCCCCGTATCTTCGGAACGGCTAGACCTGCCTTCGCCAAAAACTAATCAGCACGTCTCCTTATCAATACGAATCGAATGTTTTTTGAATTATTCAAATCGGTTGATCCGTGTTCCCGAAAGCGTCGACGAAAATTTGTATCCGAACACACACACACACATACACACATACATCCATTTTTTCTAAGATGCATTTATATTTATCATAATTGATTGTAACAATTAGATTTTTTTATTTATGTAAAATTAATAACCAAAGCTAATATTTATCATCTTTTTTCCAAGAAATCAATGTTTGTTATGTGATATGTTTATTAGACACACAATTTCACCACAATAATAATATATAAAGTTTCTTGATATTTATATGTGTAGATATTAATAATATTTTAATACTGCTCCAGTATAATTGACGCATTCCAGAAAAACTTATGCAAATATTTTGTATTAGGAATAAACATCGAGATTGGGTTTGTTTAATTTGGATATTATTATATATATTTTTTAAATTAATATTATTTGTTGTATACTAGGTGTACAACTAATGTAGATATGAATATAATAGTTGGAATTATTCCTCAAATTAAAATAATACTGTTGTTTTATAGTTCGGTTAGTTTGTAAGTTTGCTAAATTTTTGGGACCAACCTTGAAGTTAAAGTTTCTACTAATTATCATTTTTGTTTATAGACATAGACAAGAAGACAAGTATATTCAGTAGAACTCCAATTATCCGAACTCCGACTATCCGAATCGCCGATTATCCGAATCACTTTCAGAAAAAAAATGTCCAAGTGTCTAAGTGCAAAAAAGTCTAAGTGCAAAAAAAGTCTAAGTCCAAAAAAAGTCTAAGGTTGAAGACCGCAAAACAGCTTACATTGACGGAGATGTTTAAAAAACAATGATTTTTATTTCTAAACTTGTACATTTATTTATATTTAAAACATGTGAAAATATCATGTTTCTTTCATTTAATTCAATAAAAAGATAGTGCAATATCAAAACGTAACTTTTTTTCTCCTACACAATTTTTAAAAAAAACTCCGATTATCCGAATATTTGATTATCCGAATGGGTCCCGGTCCCCATTAATTCGGATAATTGGAGTTCTGCTGTATAGTTAAGTAATTTCCCAACGAAAATATCCGGCCCGATATAGTTGATACTTGAAAATCGAGAAAATTTCTCACACCAAACTTCTTTATTTCGAGTTTTATACGTAGTATGTAGAATTTAGTTTAAAAACATCCTTAGGAATAAATACATTTTATTTATGTATAAATATGCATATATTATTATGATTTTATTACAGATTCATCCCCAAACGATTTGCTCGATCCAGGGCAAATACTCAGATACTCTTGTATACACACCTGGACTGCCGACGACGCCGCAAGTTATACCGAAGGAAGTAACTCCGATCAAATCGTACATGCAATAAGGAACTTCAAGATACGTTTGCAAAGGCCCTCCCGAATCACCCTATAAAAATATCAAATCACTATATATAGTAGAAACATCTATTAACCATAACAAAGGTTAAAATGTGCAGGTAAGCCATTTTTATTAATAGTAATCAGTAGAAGATGGATATAAAATTTTAATATTACATTTATTACCGTGTGCATTTTTAGTGACTATGTGTAAAGTATTTCTTGAAACTTAAACTTTACCTGACAAGTATCTTTCATTTCACTATGATGGCCAGCACACATTTGACTTTCTGGAACAATTCCAGACCTTAATCTACGACTAGATGCAAACGCTGAATAAGTTTCATTGCATTCTTCTTGTGAAAACATTTCTAGAGTAACCTGCAAAAAATATTATAAAATAATATTATGAAATATGTCGTTTGATGTATAACTAACTAATCTAAATATAGTGCAGTAAATGGAGAGGAAAAAAGGGTATAACCTCTGATTTTTTTTACTGTGCCCCGATTTGCATCAAATTTTGGAAATAGGCTAATCTTACCCTTAAGTTTAAAAGGACTTTTGTCTCTAAGGGTAAAAAGGGTTAAACATTCGATAATTAAGATAAAGAGGTTAAGATATAATTTACTTCATACTTAAATCTTTTTATGTCATACCAAAATATATTTTTAGGTGTTTTTTCAATTCAAAGGTTGTTCGCAAGGGTGAAAATGATTTTATTAGCAGGTAAATGTATAAGAAAATATGTTACAATTTTACCCTTCAATATTAAACATATTTTCTAGTGATAAAATGGCTCAATGTCAATTTATATATAAAGCCTTTATAATAAAGGGTAGCGGTGGCATCAAAACACCCCTCCCCCGCCTCCAAAGGGCGGCGGGGAGTTTAAATTGTTTTCACTTTTGAACTTTTGGATGAGATGGACCTAATTCCAAAATTTAATTCAAATCACAGTAAAAAAATTTAGACCCAAAACGTTCCATTGACTGGAATGATAGGAATATTTTTAATTCTATTCTAGTTAAAAAGTCGAAAATTATTTGGACTAAAATTCTTGATCTACTTTTAGTTACGTTTTCACTCAATTAAAGGATTTTTCATCTCTAACAATAGTTTTCAAGATTACCCTTTCTATCATTTTCCTAATTAATATTTGGAACTTAATAAGCTTCATGTCTAAAATAATGACAATTTTTTTAAAGTTAAAGATATAAAGATAAATTCAACATGTTTTTATAATTCAATTTTTTCACTGAACTTGAAATTAAAGCATTTTTTGTAATAAAAAAAACTATATAATATAGTTTGTATTACCTTGAACAGTTGTTGGCTCGTGGAACCTAAGTATTCTGTTCTTCCCCAACCAGTAGCAATCGCTTTTTGATGGTTGATATTAAATTCCGTGTGAAGACAAGCTGGTATCACGAACTTATTTAAGATAGCTCTGAAAAATCAAGCAATTGTTATTCATAGCACATTCGTAAAATATGTTTAAATTAATGATTAAATATATTCAATAAAAAAAACATACTTGCGGTCGAGCCGTAATAGTGCAATATCGTGGTAACGAGAAGGAGCTTTATATTGCGGATGCTTGATAATTTCAGCAACAGAAAAATCTTGTGTTTCTGAGTCTCCTTCATTTGAAATATCATTTTCGCCAAGACGAATCCATCTTACTTCTCCACTTGAAAAGAAAATAATGTGGATTGTGGATCAAGGATTGATTAAAAAAAAATAGTGGTGTATGGCATTGTGCTATAAGGCAGTAATTTTAGAATAACATAAAAATTTGAATTTGTAATTCTCAAGGTTTGGCTCTTTTGCTTTCTATAATTCATCTAACTGGAATGAATTGAAAATTTATTTACTCTTGTGGTGAAAATACGCAATGCCCGGCTGTTAAAACAAATTCATCGCTAATCAATGTACCACCGCATGTCCATTTCTTTGAATTCTCTTCTCCCATACCTAGGAGGGCCTAAAACATAGTAATATATAGAATACATTACAATACAAATTTTCTTATTTATCACTTATTAAAATTACCATATGTGGAAATTCTCTAACGCCAGCATGCTGTCCTCCGATAACTAACTCAGTTACTTTATGTGCACATCTATTTACTTTTACTTTACCGAAATTAATAGTTTGAACTGGTGGTGTTATCCATTCATAGACATATTTGCTATATTCCTCACACACTAAAAAAAAGTTGGTAATGGAAAAATAAAATAGAATTATTTTAATACTAGGAAAATAATATACAATGACAAAAATAATATATTCTATTTAATACAGAAAATGAATTTCGTACTTGCTCGAGCTTTGCTACCAACTTTAGTATCTGGATCATTGTTAGAACGATTATTTGAATCGATGAGGCTGGACTCCGTGCTAGTTCGATCGTTCCGTTCCAAAGATCTCTGGTTATTATTTGATGTTGTACTTTGAGTAGTTGTAATAATTGCTGAGCCTATTCAGAAACATTATAGATTATTTTGCTTTACAAACCTTTGGATACAATTAAATCATTGTACCTTCAGAAACACAGCATACTACTGGATCAAGATTTGAAAAACCACACATTTGTGGATATTTTCCATTTCTTAACCCTACAATAGCTGGCGCGCAATTTTTTAGAAGTTTGCAGCTTCCAGATAATCCATCAATAGTGCAAGCATCACCTAAAATGATTCTTGTTTTATAATTAATATTAGAAGTGGTATCTTATATAGTGCGCAGTTTTAAAATATTTTTTATTTATATATACTTTACGAGTAAAATTATGGGCTTACCTTCATATCGTTGCGATTTTCCTAAATTTATACAGGAAAATAAACAAACTAAATAAATGACACTAATATTTAATTTATACATAATTCATAAATTATTATTGTGCATACAACATACAGAGTAATTACCATAATCTTTGTTATCAGCATAAACTCTGAACTATTCTACATATGTGCTATAGGATAGGTTTACTATATTTGTTAATGTTTGTGCAATCATAATTTAGATATTATATATATATATATATATATAATACAACAAAGTATATGAGAGTTTACAGAGCGTGGTTTTCCCAAGTGTTTTTTTTTTAGAAAAATGCATATAATGCTTAACTGCATGTGTGTTTAAATGGTAAATAATATTATATATCTGACTCTCAGGTTCTAGTCTTCCTTTAATTATCGTATGACCTTCTGATTATTATTATTATGAATAGCTTTCAAGAATTTACTTTGTGACCTATTCATTATTTAATTTCAAAACCTTTTGCTTCCGTCCATTTTCTTTATTCCATCAGGTATCTAAAACTTTCTAGCTACTCTCTCTTCAGTTTGCCGATATTGTTTGCAGGGTGGAGATTTTATAGTAGCAAAATATTTTATGAAAATTAAAGTCATCGTTCGTTTTTTCCCCTAAAATTCCCACATAGATACTCTGGGACCAAAAAAGTGGTGTATATTTGCAGCGCCCTGGCATTTATGGCGTACCAAGACTCTTTGTTCAGAATCCATGTTGAGCATCGTTGTTTCTGTGTATGTACTTCTAGTAAATATACTTGTCACTAATATAAAATACAAGAAACATAAATCTTTTTAAAACTTTGATTAACCGAACGCTAATAAATCTTCAATTGCAGTCGAAGTCTGTCTGTCCCTGCCTTATGCCATATATAGATGATTGCCAAAATAATCATTGCCATGCGTGACTAGTAAATACTAAGTAAAAAGTATATATATATATATATATATATATATATATATATATTATATATATATACATAGCTGGGCACCGTTAATCAAAAAGTTAACTTCGTTAATCGTTAATCCGCTACAAAAAAAGTTAGCTTCGTTGAACGTTAAAGCGTTACATTTCGGAATAATTAACGCAAGTTAACGTTAATCGTTAATCCGTTAATATGTGTAAAATTACATTTTTATATCGTTGCGTTAGTGAACTTAAAAAACTTATTGGTTTAGGTTCTGGAAGTTAATAGGTTATGAATAAAACAAAATACTTGTATAATTCAAATGTGTAATTTAACCCCTTAATGGCGCGACGCGCTTTATGCACACACCGTGATAATAACGCTATTGGTCAACTTTCTGTTTTTATGATTGCATATTGTTTTTACAAGAATTTTTTTCTAAATAAAGGGAAAGAGTTTTTTTTGCCAAAAATAACGCGCGACGGGTTAAGCGTCGGGTGTTAGGTGCATATTTCTCTTCATGAACATTAACATGTTGAAGTTCTCGTCTGAAAGCGAGGCTCGTTTTGGTGTAAAAATGTCTTTACCCGTGGAAAACAAACGTTCAATTGCAGCGCTTGAGGGTATAGCAGTATTGTATTTAATAAATTGATTTATGAATCGTTGAACAAGTCTTTTGAACATGTTGGCACTGTTCATCATTCACAAGTGGTCCAAATCTTTTCTCTATGTCATTTAATAAGGCATTGGCTAAAGCTGTGCCGTGCGGTAAATAGTAGGCATTGGCAGGGCCGTGCCTGGGTATTTGGCCGCCTGCGTGCGAGCATATAAATGGCCGCCCTTAAAAATAGCATAATAGGAAAATATCCAATATGTTCTCACGAAAAAAATCGTCTTGTAATTTTCAAGTTTTCTCGACATTTTAAGTCATTCTGAATCGTTTGAAAGCCGATTTTTGAATTTTCGGCAACGTTTTCTCAAAAACGGTTAAATCCAATTCAAAAGTTTAAAAGTCATTTGATGTAACTAGATAATGACTAGCGCCTGTCAGTTTTGTGCGACGATCGGCCAAGCTGTTTCTAATCAACAGAAAAATATAAAATTTATTGTACACGTTTTAGCCAAAAATTCTGCATCGATTTTAAAAATTCAGGAACTGTTTGAAAGATATCATTTAGGAATCGTGCTGATTAGTTCTAAGAGATCGGTCGGTTCGTTTCTTCGTGTTTAATTGGTGAATATTGCTTTACGATGATATTCATAAAACTTTTTTGGCGATAGTGATCATGGTCTCTAAGATAACTAAATATTTCGACCCACATTAAGTCATTTTAATTTTTAAAATATGTACTATCAAAGATTGCAAAAATGAGCGGCGCTTTTTTACGTGAGTCAAAATTTCATCTTTAGTCGACCTTTTCTCAAAAATGCACAATCCCATTTGAAAAATCGTCAAAATTCGTAAATTCGATAAGCACTCGTGCTGCTTAGTTTTGCCTTTAGAATTTTCAAAAAAGTCTCAAATTTTTGATTAGTGAATTAATTTTAAAAATTCAAAAACCATTACAAACGTTTTCCATTTGAAAATCTTGTTGATTAAATTTTGTCAATAATCGACGAGTCGTTTTTCAGTTATTGATTAACAAATTGCTTTGGAAATTTGGATCTTGTTTTTAATTTACTACAGTTTGTTTCTTGTTCAATAATATGTAATTTTTAAACTATTTATAAAACATAATGGAAAGAATTGTATATGGTAACACCATTATTTTTGTTCACACTAGTCAACACTGCTGCTGCAGTATTATCAGTACCAGCAGTAACTAGAATTCAATAGATAGATTTTGGGATTATAACTGTTCAGGTCGATAGTACCTTTTATCAGTAAATCGATATCATTGTGATTTCCGTACTCCGTTACAATTATTCGGCAAATAAATTGAATCAAATTAAAATAGTGTTTAATTTATAAAATAAGTTCTGCAAGACATACAGTATACGAATTTCTTGGAAAATACGTCCATAAAATTTTGGTCCTTCAACCGGATCTTGGCTAGATCTTGAGCTGCAGAATATACATTTTATTCTAAAATTTGTGCACTACGTCAATTTTGTGCAATACGTGCACGTGCAATTAGCTGCAGTTTGCTGAATGCTGACACGTGCAATTTGCTGCCGAATTACTGTGGACATCATCCACGTGGCCTAAGTGAACTTGGGGTTCAGGAAGTGTCGCGAGTCTACCAGTGACATATGCGGAGTTAAGGAGCTGTGGAAAGTCTACCACGTGTCCCAAAGGAATTACTTGGAAGAATTCATGAGGTGACATTGTAGAAGTGATATCTATTGACATTTATTTATTTGACATTACCTACAGTGAATATTATAATTATTTCATTGTATTGTAATTGCTTATTATAGTTATAAATTTTGAGTTGTAAAGGTCGTAGGCTTGTAGGTTTCATTGTTGTTTGACGCCATTTTACGCGACCGACATCCATTATAGTTAGCTTAAGGTCTGAAGTTTATACTCGTGTGGCCTTACCTAACAATATTATATTATTTTTTCAAAGTTGTTTTCATATTTTCATTCTTTATACCGATTGTTATTAGTTTATAAATTTAATTTGAAGTAATAATTTAATTTCAATCAAAATGGCCGACTTAAGTACATTGTTGCAACAGAGGTCACAGATAGAAATTACGTTTGACATTATATTTAAATATGTTACTAGCTTTAAAGGCGATAATATTGCCGGTTTAAATATACGCAAACAGAAATTACTAGAAATGTTTCATCGGATCGAGGAAATATATGTTGAATTAGAATTGCTCGAGCCCAAAAAGTACTCAGTAGAATTCCGCAAATATTGTGAGAAACATTTAGATTTATTGACTAGGATTGACGAATTAGTCCAAGATAACACCGTTGATAACAAACAAGCTATTGATAATATAATAAAACCCAATAATCCGCAGGTTAAATTACCTGACATAGTATTGCCGAGGTTCAATGGCGAATATAATTCATGGGTTGAGTTCAAAGATATTTTCATTTCATTAATACATAACAACAAAAATTTAACAGATGTAGAAAAGTTGTATTATCTAAAAGGTTCATTGTCTTCTGGCCCGTCTAAATTGATAGCGAATTTAACCATGACAAACCAAAACTATGCCATAGCTTGGAATTCATTGACACAGCATTATGATAATAAACTTTTCATTATTAATGCACATTTGTCATCATTATTTAATTTACCAAATTTAACTAGAGATACGTTTGAACATTTAAATTCATTTTTAAATACTGCTCGACAACAGGTGCTATCACTAAAATCAGTCTATGATGACGCTAAGTATTGGGATTTAGTCTTTATATTTTTATTCACAAAAAAGTTGGACGATAAAACCTGCTTGGCATGGAATTTACATAGGAATACAGATTTGCCTACTTTAGAACAATTTTTTGAATTTTTAACATCACGTATTTCAGCCTTGGAGGCGACTTTTAGATCAGAACCTTCTAGTAGTAAATCAAAATTTAATTCAAAACCCGTTAATTTCATTAGTAAACAAAAATCCAAGCGAATTTGTCCATTTTGCAAACGAAATCACCCATTATTTAATTGTGACGCATTCAAAAAATTGTCTGTCCAAGAACGCAAGAAATTTGCAAATAAAAATAATTGTTGTGAGAAATGTTTGGATGGTTTTCATGCCTTAGCAAGTTGCAAGTATACGGGTTCATGTAGGGTATGCAAATCCGAATTGCATAATACTTTGCTACACAGTGCACAAAGTGATCAGATTAGTCACCAAGTAGATAAGCCTTCTGATAAGCCACCGACGATTTTGTTAGCTAATTGTAAAAATAACATTCAAACCTTGTTATCTACTGCCATTGTAAGGGTTTATGATTCATTTGGTAGATCATTCAATGTACGGGCATTATTAGATAGCGGTAGTCAAATAAATATTATTTCGGAGTCACTTGCCGACCGGTTAAATTGCACTCTAAATACAGTATCAAATTCTTTAAGTGTTTTACATGGACATTCGTTATTTAGTAATAAAACAGCTGCTATAAAAATATTTTCAAATGCTTCTACGTTTTCTAGAACCTTAGATTTTGTTGTTTTAAAATCAATCACTAGTAATTTGCCGTCCGCTGATATTAATATAAACGATTGGAATATTCCCTCACACATTAAATTAGCAGATCCTCATTTTTATATTTCAAGCCCTATAGATATGTTGATAGGAGCTGAACTCTTCTTCGACATTTTACAGCAGGGTTCTATTAGGTTAGGAAGTTATCACCCGATTTTACGTAACTCTAAGTTTGGATGGATTGTTTCGGGCAATTACAATAGTGTTGAAAGGTCTAAGGAATATGTAGGTTTGATAACACATTCTAATTTTAAATTAAATGAGAATTTAGTTAAATTCTGGAATTTGGAAGAAATACCTGAGACAAATATGCGCCTTTATGGTTTAAATAAAATTTGTGAAGAGCAGTTTCTATCTAGTGTTTCTAGAATTAATAATAGGTTTGAAGTTGCCTTGCCCTTTACACCAGATTATCAAGGAGAATTAGGTCATTCATATGGTGTTGCACATAAGAGATTTCTTTATTTAGAAAAGCGTTTTTACAAGAATCCCAATTTATATAAACTTTATCGTGAGTTTATTCATGAATATATTTCTATGGGGCACGCCGTTCAAACAGATATTCCAAAATCGGACATTTTAGATACCTTTGATTCTTCCACCAGTCATAATCATTATTATATGCCACATCATGCTGTTTTTAAAAATTCAGATTCTAATAAAATACGCGTTGTTTTTGACGCATCGACTAAAACTTCGTCGGGAAAGTCTCTTAACGACATCCTTCTAGCTGGTCCAAAATTACAGAAGGATTTATTTTGCATTTTGCTAAGATTCAGATCGAAGCCTTTTGTTTTCATAGCTGATTTAATTAAAATGTTTAGACAAATAAATATTAAAAGAGCCGATCAGGAGTATCAAAGGATTCTTTGGAGGGACTCTCCTTCGGAAGAAATAAGATGTTACAGGCTTACAACTGTAACTTACGGAACGGCTTCAGCTCCATATCTTGCGATAAGATGTTTGAATCATTTAGCCTTTGAAGAAAAAGCCACATTCCCGATTGCTTCACATGTACTTTTAGAGGACATTTATGTCGACGACATAATTACTGGTGCTAATAGTATAGAACATTTACAGCGTACTAAAATTGAATTAATTAAGTTATTAGAATTAGGCGGTTTTTGCTTACATAAATGGGCTTCAAATATTCCAAGTTTTTTAAATGATATTCCTTTGCAATTGAGAGAATTTAATAACCCTATCTTCACTGACGATAAAAATTCTATTAACACCTTAGGCTTATTATGGAATCCAAAACAGGATCACTTTCTTATTTCAGTTCCCACTTTTAAATTTAATAATTGTACAAAGCGAGTTATTTTATCTGTGATATCACAAATTTTTGATCCTTTAGGACTGATCGCACCTGTCGTTATACAAGGAAAATTGATTTTACAAGAACTTTGGAAAGATAAGAAAGATTGGGATGAAAGTGTTTCTGCAAACGTTGAAAATAAGTGGTTCAAGTTTGCCACAAAGTTAGGGACATTATCACACTTAGTTATTGATCGTTGCGTTTTTCATCACAAACGTATTATAAGTATTCAACTTCATGGTTTTGCTGATGCGTCTTCATATGCTTATGGAGCATGCTTTTATGTTAAAACCACATATGAAGATAAAACTACGAGTGTGAAACTACTGTGTGCGAAATCAAAAGTTGCACCTTTAAAACCGATAACTTTAGCGAGGTTGGAATTGTGTGCTGCATTATTATTGGCTAGGTTGTTCAGAAGGGTGATTGATAACATTGATATAAATTTTGAAAAGGTTTTACTTTGGAGTGACTCGAACATTGTCTTGTCATGGATCGCTGGCGATCCAAATAGATGGCATATCTTTGTGAGCAATAGAGTAGGAGAAATTACTGACATTACTCCCGGCACAATCTGGAGACATGTGCCTTCTGATTTCAACCCAGCAGATCTAATTTCACGAGGCTTATCCGCAGATCAATTAAAAACTTGTGAGCTATGGTGGAATGGCCCAAGTTGGTTGTCTGAGGATACTGATAGGTGGCCAAATGTTGATCCTTCTTTAGACGCTGTTCTACCCGAACAAAGAGTTCTATTAGTTAAAGAAAACAGCAGTTCTTTTCTTGATACTTTCTGTCAGCGATTCTCTTCGCTAAGGAAAATGACTAGAGTACTTGCTTACTGCTTAAGAATGAACCCTTATATTAAAAGGTCGATAGGTCGTGGTGATCACAATACGTTATCGGTCCCAGAATTAGATAATGCGTTGAAGGTAATTTTAAAATTGGTTCAGTTAGAAACCTTCACAAAAGTAATAAAAAATCTGCAAGATAGTAAACATACTCCTAGTCTTAAATTGATGTCGGAATTGAAATCGCTTCATCCTTTCTTAGATAAGTCAGGTTTTTTGAGAGTGGGTGGTAGGATAGAAAATGCTGATGTTTCTTATGAACAAAAGCACCCAATAATTCTGCCCAAAAAACATTATGTTACAAGACTCTTATTGAAACAAGAGCATGAAAGGTTGATGCATGCGGGCACGCAAACGGTTTTAGCAAATATTCGTCGAAAATATTGGCCCTTGAACGCGCGAAGAGAGCTAAAAGCGATAATACACTCATGTGTAAAATGTGCAAAAATTAAAGCTGTCACTGCCTCTCAATTAATGGGAAGTTTACCCATTGATAGAGTTAAATTTCAACGCCCTTTTTTTAATGTTGGGGTTGATTACGCAGGACCGCTGACGATAAGATCGAGTCGATTAAGGAAAGCACCAAGAATTAAGGCTTATATTGTTTTGTTTGTTTGCATGGTGACTAAAGCTGTTCATTTAGATATTACAACTAGCCTCACAGCAGAATCATTTATTTGTGTTTTAAAGAGATTCGTTTCTCGTAGAGGTCTATGTTCGGTAATAAATAGCGACAACGGAACGAATTTTATAGGCGCTAATCATGAGTTGCAAGAGCTACGGAATCTTTTTAGTAAACAATCCTTCAAGACAGATATAATTAACCAAGCTGCGACAATGGGCATAACTTGGAAGTTTATTCCTTCTCATTCCCCACATTTTGGTGGATTGTGGGAAGGAAGTATTAAAATTATGAAATATCACCTTCGAAGGATAATAGGCTCCTCCTGTTTAACTTATGAGGAATATTTAACAGTACTATTACAGGTGGAAGCAATTCTTAATTCACGTCCTCTTATGGCAATAACAGATGATGTTTCTAGTTTTCAGTACTTATCGCCTAGTCATTTTTTGATTGGAGATTTTTTAACTACAATCCCAGAACCAAACGTAAATTTTGATAAATTAAATTCATTAACGGTATATAAGCAATTAACTGCCATGCGAGATAAATTTTGGACTTTATGGTCAAAGGATTATTTATCTTATTTGCAAAAACGAAATAAATGGTCAGATAATCAGCCAAATTTGAAATTAAACTCGATAGTTTTGATTAAGGAGGATAACCTTCCCCCATTAAGATGGTGCTTGGCTAGAATTGTTAATTTAAATTATGGTCGTGATGGTAAAGTTCGAGTGGCAGAAGTTAAAACCTCAAATGGAACCTACACAAGACCTATTCATAAATTAGTGCCTTTGCCAATTAATGATTAATATTGTAAATAACAAATATTTGTATCTTGTGTTATTTCTTGAATGTGAACTAATTTAATTGTATTTTGTATTAGAAAAAATGTATGATTTTTTGAATGTAGCTAAGTTAATTACTTTAAGTTTTGTAGTTGCTATTAAGAAACTTATATTTATTTTGTATGTGACTTAAGATATTATCTACTAGATTTAACTTTAAGTTTATTTAATTTTGGATGCAATTGTGCATCGAGTGGGAGTATGGAAAGAATTGTATATGGTAACACCATTATTTTTGTTCACACTAGTCAACACTGCTGCTGCAGTATTATCAGTACCAGCAGTAACTAGAATTCAATAGATAGATTTTGGGATTATAACTGTTCAGGTCGATAGTACCTTTTATCAGTAAATCGATATCATTGTGATTTCCGTACTCCGTTACAATTATTCGGCAAATAAATTGAATCAAATTAAAATAGTGTTTAATTTATAAAATAAGTTCTGCAAGACATACAGTATACGAATTTCTTGGAAAATACGTCCACATAACTAATATTTTTAAAAAAATTGTACAAAATTGAATAATCTGCGATAGTTTTTCACATTGCAATGTACTCATGAATTAATATATTTTCATTGTTAAGTCGATTATTAACACATGTTGGATACTTCATGCAACTTGATTTAGGCAAAGTTGCCACTTACACCAAGTTTATAACTTATAAATTATTTAGAAACAGAGTCGCATTCAATAGGGCCGCCTTTGGCTGATTTTTACTACGGTAATTTTGGTCTTTTAGATATATACAGCGGACTTTACGGCAGCGAATGAGTTCAGCGGACTTTGAGCTTGGCCGCCTCTTAATCCAACAGTCTTTTAATTTGGCCGCCTTTTAATTCAGTAGACTTTTAATGCAACAGCTATTTATTTCGACCATTTTTTGTAATGGCCGTCTTTGAATTTGTTCTTTTTTTCATTTGGCGGTACACGCACTGCACGCTGGCCAGGCACGGTCCTGGGCATTGGATTAACGATTAACGGACTTCTGGCATTTTAACGGAAGTTAACGTGTCCGTTAACATTTTCAAAAGTTAACTTAAAAGTTAATCCGTTAATCAAAATGTTAACTTCGTTAATTAACGATTAACGGATTAACGAGTTAATGCCCAGCTATGTATATATATATATATATATATATATATATATATACTAGCAAACCCGACGAACTCGTTTCACCACCAAATGGTTTCGTGAGAAAGATGAAGAATTTTTTTGTTTGTTTTATATTTGAAAAGGAAAAATTTGATTTTGTTACACAACAGTAATGAATTTATTTCGATTACAAAAATGAAGTGTTTTTAGTTGAACTTCTCTAAGTAAATAAGAGTGAATCCGCCAATTATCCGTTTCATTGAAGTGCTCTTTGGTAAACCACATTTTTTGTTTTTTGGTCTGACGTTAACACAAACAAAGCGGATGGTTTTCCAACTCGTGAACAGGCAACGAATAACTGCCCATGTAAAAAACAATGATTTTCTAAATAATCTATTTCAAATTTATCCCGCAAACACTAAGCGATTGGCCTTGCGACTTGTTAATTGTCATTGCCTTGTTTGCTTATCTATGGTAATTATGATCATTGCGAACGCAAGGCGAACTGGAAGGCAAACGGAAGACCAGTCGGAATCATTGGTATGTCACCAAATTATCAGCAATTTTTGATTGAATGGTGAAATTCAGTGCGTGTACTTCATTATTCTTTGCGGCAAGAATTGCTCGTTGACTTAACCAAGCATAATTCTGATAATTCTCACTAATGTTATTACTCGATGCCATGCACCACTAATTTTTTCTTGGCTATAAACCTTGCGGAGCCCGAAACCTTTCCAACGAATGCAAAATTGTCGAAATCGGTTCGTGCGTTCTGGAGTTATATCGTCAGGAAGGAAAACCCGACTTATTTTTATATATATGTAGATATATATATATATATATATATATATATATATACTATTTGTTTTGATAATTATTATTACTTTCAATAAATCATAATTATCTTTATTATTACAACTATAATACATTATTGGTTCTATCATATGTAGAAAAGTATTATCTGTTATTATTATAAACTATAATAAAATCACATGTTTATCCCCATACAGTCTGTTCAATCCATGGCAAATATTCCGAAACTCTCGTATAAACTCCTGGACTTCCAACGACTCCGCAAGCAATTCCGAAAGATGTAATACCTATGACATCATACATACAGGTAGGGTCATTTAGATAAGTTTGCAAAGGACCTCCAGAATCACCCTATATAAAAGGATATAACATAAGTCACCAAAAATAATATTGATTTTAAATAAATGCTCTGTTACCTGGCAAGTGTCTTTACTTTCAGTATGATGTCCGGCGCACATTTGGCTTTCTGGTACAATTCCATATTTCAATCTACGATTTGATATAAATGCGGCATAAGTATCATTACATTCTTGTTGAGAAAATAATTCTAAGGTAACCTGTTTTGAAATACATGGACTTAATATCATGACATTTTTTAATGATTTAAGTAATTACTTATAATATATTTATATTTATACAATAACCTTATACAGTTGCTGACTTGTAGTACCATAAGTGTGTGTCCTACCCCAACCAGTGGCAATGGCCTTTTGATGTCCTATGTTAAATTCGGTATGTAGACATGCTGGTATTACGTACTTGTTCAAAATAGCTCTGCACAATTTAATAAATGGTTCAAAAATAATATATTAACTTAAAAAATTAAAATTTATATTTAATTAGAATTGATACTGACTTGCGGTCCAGGCGTAATAAGGCAATGTCATTGTAACGAGAAGGTGCTTTGTATTGCGGGTGTTTTATAATTTGGGCAACTTCAAAATCTTGCGTTTCCGTTTCCTGCGAGTTCTGAATATTATTTTCACCAAGGCGTACCCATTTCACTTCACCACTAAAAAATAAATTTTGTCTCAGAATTTGTGTTAGACTAAATTTGAATCTACGGGCCCAAACTAACTGATTTTACCAGCCGTACTACCAGCCATGTCTATGTTTACTATGCTCGTCACAACATAATCCGTGAAACTAAATACTTCTGTTGCAAAAATACTTCTAAATTACAATTATTATTATTTTTTTATATAATTGTTATTTATATATGCTAAGGTTAAAATACTTATTAATTAGTTAACTAAAAACTTACAATTTAAAAACACTTAAAAAATTGTGAAACTAATATTTCTTTCATTTAAATACCTAAAAAATTGTAAAAGAAATACCTATATTGTAAAAATATTTAATAATAATAATAATAATGATAATGATAACAATAATAATAATAATAAGATACTTAAATTTGTTAAAATATCATGAAATAACCTAAAATTTGTTAAATAAAATAATTATATTGTAAAAGTATTATAAAGCTTATTAAAAAACTTATTAAATTTTTAAAAAATACTTGCAACAAACAAACTAGTTATAATTTTGAAATAATTAAAATTAACTAAATATAAATAAGTTTATAGCAAATAATAATTTAATTAACAATTATATTAAGGGGGTATTCTAGTGTAGAGCGATGAATTTTAGGTCATTTGTAAAGTGTCGTAAAAGAAAGCAATGAATGTTTACTATCCATTTTTTACCACTCGTTTATTAATATTATTCAAATATAAAACAAAAATTAAAAAAAGTTGAAAATTGTAAAAACTGGCAGCTGATGAAGTGGGTGATCTCTAACAAAAAATTGGCACCTCAGTCTTGACATGATTTCAGCCCTTTTAGCCATCGGAAATGCAAAAAATAAGAAGATTATTAATCTACAATGATGTCGCAATCGCTCGAACTAGCAATGAGTAAAAAAAAGTTTTTTCTCACAAATTGGCGGCTGTTTGAAAAAAAAGGTGTTTTTTTTTACTGTTTTTTGAATTTCTCGAATTTTTTAAAAATAGTAAAAATTGGAATTTGGGGATAATCCTAGTTCGGGCTATAGATAGGTCTATAAACAAGACTATCTGAACATTTCAAGTGAATTGGTCGATTAAAACTCGAGAAATCGTGTCAACAGTACTGAAAAAGTCTGTTCTGAGGAAAACGCATTTAAAGTTTTGCGTGAAGCCAAACCAGTATGGAGACTGAGTCCGTAAAATGCCTATATTTCCGAAAATAATTCAAATTTTCAAAAACCTTCTCGTACCCATATTCTTTGATAGTTTCACTTTGAAAATATGAAATTAAAAAAATCGATTTTTCTGAATTTCTACACTAGAATACCCCCTTAAACCTGTAAAATATTGACTTAAACCTTATTATAATATTAATATACCGACGGCTTGTAAAACAAATAAATAAATAAATCATATTTATACAAAGTATCACAATAATGCAATTCTTACTCTTGTGATGAAAATATGCAATGTCCGGCAGTCAGAACAAACTCATCACTTATCAAAGTTCCACCGCATGTCCATTTTTTAGAATTTTTGTCACCCATGCCCAGCAAAGCCTATAAAATATATAACGCAATTAGAGTCGATTACTTCAACAGTGGACAGTTGTACAACTTGCAAATTAATCAAAAATGAAATTAATATTTTATAGAGAAATCTAAAAGTTAAGCATGAGAAAACATTTTATTCGATTTATATAATGGCAAATTGCAGCAATTTGTCTTATGATCTAATGCCATACAATAGTTTTGTTTTCATATCATACCATATGAGGAAATTCTCTAGGTTTGGTGAGCTCTCCTCCAATAACTAGTTCAGTTGCTTTGTGGCCACATCTATTTACTTTTACTTTTCCTGAATTGAAAGTTTGAACAGGGGGTGTGATCCATTCATATATGTACTCTCCATATTGCCGACACACTAGAGAATAATTACTGAATTGAAAATGAAATTTTATATCAAAGCTTTAATATATAGAATATGTATCGCTATACATACTAGCTCTTGCTTTGCTGCCAACATTTCCGTCTCCAAAACTCGTTTGAGTCGGTCTGGACACTGCATTCTGGTTATTTTGTTGATTGGATCCTGGTCTTTGACTAGAATTCGGCTTCTGATTACTTGTAGAACCTAGAATACATAAAACAAGGAAAATTTTAAATAATTCAACAGAATTGAAACACTTTTCATGTTGAAATTCTTATGATTACGCTTAATAAGTTTAATAACAATAAGAAGCGTGATTAAAAAAATATATACATATAACTTTTAGTATCTTCTCAAGTATATAGTATTAATTGTAATTTATATGTGTTTAGTGACTAATACTAAATTCAAACAGTTATTTAAACGTTATAAATTTTTGAGTGTTTTATGAAATTAAAATAATAAAATATACAATAATATAATATAATATACAAGTCTCAAAATCTTATTTTGAAATTGTATTTTACAAAATACAAGAATAATTTTATGTTATAGTTTAATACGTTGGATAAGCTAGGGATAAAGACACTGATAGTAAAATATTTCAAATGAAAATTAAAATGATACGAGAATAGAAAATAATATTTCTTATTGCAAATGGAATTAATATGAAAAAGTAGTGCTAAAAGCATTTAATGGATTAAAATTTATGAAAAATTTATAGCACATGTTGATTTTCACACAGTTATTCACAATTTATACCATATTATAGAATTTTCCAAAATATCACAAGACCAAAATTAGAAAACCAAAAAAAACAATTTATTTGTTTTAAATGTAAAACTCATAATTAATATTTTTATAAAAAATTCAGTCTGTTTCAGATTGTCTAATGACTTTGAGAACAAATCGTCAGACTAATTGTAAGAAGATCAGTTGCAGTCTCCACCGTTTTTAAGCTGTTGTTCCTACATTTCCGACAAAATAGTATATTTGAGATAAACTTGTTTTGCTTCTAAATCTATTATAATTATAAACATATAAATTATTTATTTTCATCATGAATTACTTGATGTTTCTGAAGGACAGCAAACAATTGGCAACGTTTCTAAGAAGCCACATATTTGCGGTCGTTCTCCTCTATTTTGCAAAGCTGTTATTGCCGAAGGACAATCTCGTATAAGTCGGCATTTACCAGATACTGTCCCTAAATTGCAATTGTCACCTAAAATTTTAAATAAATTAGTAATGATATAAGAAATATAGATGTATTCTTTATGCAGCATTTTACAACATCATATATGAAAAATACTTAGCATTAAGTGTATTATTGTAATTCCTTAAATAACAATATTTAGTTATAATTATCTCAATATATTAATATTCATGACTTATTGTTAATACATGCTGACCTTCATATCTTTGTGAGACTCCCAAACTAAAAATTGTGAATAAAAGAGGCAATAGTAATAAATAAGAGATATTTGAGTTCACGTTCATCGTTAAATCTTATTTATTATTGATTATCCTATTATTGATTTTTATTATAAATTTATTGGAATAATGTATTTATAACTGTGAGTTACTAAATAACTCCATAACTATTTTTTAGACAAAACGTGTAATCAATTTAGAAACTTCACTGTTTATATTTGCAAACTGTTGTTTTAAAATATATTTTAAAGAATATATATATTTTGAGAATGTTGTTTTAAATTATATTTTAAAGAATATATATAACTATGAGAAATATTTAACATGATATATTGATTCACTGATATATTTTTACTTTTTGAACCGATATTACCGATGAGATCAATTCTTGGACTAAAATCTTATTGGCGTTAATTTTATACGGGTATCTTTCTATATACACAAAAGTAAATACAATTAAAGACACGCACATGAATATAAATAAATATATAAATATTTATATTTCAACACATACACACACAGATATATATATATATATATATATATATATATATATATATATATATATTATATTTGTATTTGTATTTGTATTGTAACTGGGAATTCCGGTTTACCATCGACAAAATTGATCAGAGTCGATCAACATATTTTTTTATATTTTTTCTCTAAAATTATTAAAATAAAATAAGTAAACATGGGCGGCAAAAATTCGGTTTTTAATACTTCTGAGTTTTATTTTCATGCAATGAAGTTTCAGAATTGATTTCAAGTTATGTATAAAAGTAATTATTTAACTAAATAATTAGACAATTAAAATATATTTAAAATTATTTTTTCATTATTTATTATTAACTTCCCGTAGGGTGAGTTATAGTAATCTCAAAAAAATCTAAAATGAAAATTTTTATATATCTTTACGTTTCTGAATATTTTGGCATACCTTAGAAAAAATGAATATATGTGTGTGTGTGTGCGCGGATACAAATTTTCTTCGACGATTTTGGGAACACCGATCAACCGATTTGAATAATTCAAAAAACATTCGGTTAGTATTGATAAGGAGACGTGCTGATTAGTTTTTGGCGAAGGCAGGCCTAGCCGTTTCGAAGATACGAAGCTAAAAGTGCAAAAATGACAGGTTCTCAAAGAACAAATCGGGTAATTTGAATGATTCAAAAGACATTCGATTCGTATTGATGTGGAGACGTACTGATTAGTTTTTGTAGGCAGGTCCATTCGTTTGGAAGATACAGAGTAAAAAGTGCAGAAATTCCGATTAGATCCTAGACTTCATAGCATTGTTCGTGAGCATATCGTTGTAGCCTAGTTGGTTGGCGCGTCATCGTTCGCGTTGTTAGATAAAAAAAAGTCAAGACTGATCGGGTTCGAATCCTACGTCTGTAATGTTTTTTTTATTTTTTTAAATACTTTTTATGTTTCTATAGTTGATACTACATAAACTATTTAAAACTTTAAAACTGTTAACTCAGTGCATACATTTCGCAAACTAAAATTGATTCATTTGAAATAAAATATTTATTCTAACAATAAGTCCGTTTAATTAGATTTTGTTTATATATATTTCATTCAAACATATATAAACAACGTCGTCTAATCTAATAAGTTTTCACATTTTGTCTACAAGTAACAAATAATGAAAATTCTAGTTTATAACTTCCCGTAGGGCAAGTTATAGTAATCGCAAAAAAATCGAAAATGAAATTTTTTATATATCTTTACGATTCAAAACCTTCTAAACATTATGGCATACCTTAGAAAAAATGTATGTATGTGTGTGTGTGAACACGGATGAAGCGATTTGAATAATTTAAAAATTATTCGATTCGTATTGATAAGGAGACGTGCTGATTAGTTTTTAGCAAAGGCAGGTCTACCCGTTCCAAAGATATGAGACAAAAAGTGCCAAAAACGGTAACTCAGATGAAGAACTGGTCAAATTTTCATGAAGGTAGGTCTAGTGGTTTCAGTGATCTAGTAAAAAAAGTAAAAAAAAAGCCATTTGGCGTCAAAATGATCATTAGACATATGCACATCAAATTATCAGATATTTTATAGATATTTTAACAATAAGTATAAATTTTGTTTACATTCCTATGGGTCCCGTACCAATGGTTATCCATTAGACGGCGACGCGGCGCTTACGCGCTTCGATATTCTGTCTCTATGCAGTTAAAGCAGTACGATTGCTTTGAAAAAAAGTTCAGAATTTCCAAAATATTTCAAAATAATTTTTTCTTCAAAAAGTCTTTTTTATTAAAAAAAATAATTTTTGTCAAAAATTTATAGTTTCTCAAAAATCTAATTTTTTCAGAGTAACTTTTTTTCAAAAACGTTAATCTTTTTTAAAAAAAGATAATTTTTGGTACGGGAAGTTCCAGCAATTTGCCTTAAAGCACGATGCCATGCACCCCACTATTTAAATATTAAATAAAATAATCCCAATTAGATTAATCATTTTAATATTCAAATAAATACCGATAAAAAATGATTATAAGATACTGGCTAATACTGTTCAAATTAATTAAGTTGAAATTAGTTAATTTTCAGTGTAATTTACAGAAAAAATCAAAATTTCGTTTTGTTTTTCTAGCAATTGCTATACTTTTAATATATTTAAAAACAAAATAAATATCTTTTAATTTTTTTTATGATTATTACTAATGTGAAAAATTTGAAATTTCGAACCGTTTGATTTCTGACGCCATCTCTTGCATTTTGAATCAAGTTTATGATAAACAACAAACCCGATTTGTCAAAATTCGTACAGTTCGAAAAATCTTATTAAGCATTATAAGTATTATACATTATAATTTGACAAGTTTCTAAAGTTAGATTCTGGAAGTGAGTTTATAATAATTGTTTGCAATAAAATAATTGCAAGATATAAGTCTAAAAAATGTAAATAAAGGGAAACGAATGATGGCGAAGAATTAGAGTCTGCATTTTTATCTGAGCCTTACGTATTACATGAAGGATTAACAGGATTCGGTTGGTATTATTCGTTGGCCAAAATAAAGCATCCACACTGTTTTTTTTTTTTCCTTTTAAAGTTCCGTTGCAATAAAAA